ACCTAACTAAGGCTTGCTAGGACCTTTGCCTTTGAAATCCTCGTACTCGATTCATCCAAAGATTCTGTTCTCGCTCGAGCTAAAGAAATGCATTGTGATGGATAAATTTCGAAATTACGAAAAAGAAAACGAAATCGGTCGATGCAGAAGGCTCTAGTTGTCGCTGCTGAGTTGCGCCTCTGCCCCTAGGCAACATCAACCCAACCAAAAATTTACTTTGAGACGCTACTTCTTTTCCCGCGCGATGTTATCCCAGCATTGGAACACATATGAGCGATTCTCTTGTGCCGCTGCTGCTTGCACGACCACTACTCAATAAAGCGGGTCTTCGCCGGCTGCCGCGGTGGCTGTGTTGTCAGCTGCCTGTGCAGCTCTATATTTTCGTGCTCTTATTCGTTCGTTGCTTTTTCTGAAAGAGAACTCTCTGAGGAAACGGGGGGCACTGAGAACTGGTAGCGAGTGTCACTATCGATTTCGCATCTTGGCCATACGTTGACGCTGCGAGAGGCGTTCTGCTCTTGTGTCGAAAGGGCTCGATTTGGATAGTCTCTGCCGCAAAGTTAACCAATCTGTACGGCGCAGACACACAAAGACGAAAACAACAAATGATGAGAAGAGAACCTATGAGACTTCCTGCGAAACTCAAAAAGCGGCACATAAACTTGAAGGAATTGCCCACCACCATCCTGCACACCCCTTGAGTACATCAATACTGAAATTTTTTCGATGGGTGTTTCGGTCAAGCTCGATGTAGCGTAATTTACACCAGATTAGATCGCTCTATTATTCTGGTAAAAGAGTTTCATAAAAAATAAGTTTTTTTTTTGCAATTAAAATCTATGAAAGAATTATATTGTGAATTATTACATTGATGCTTGTGATATTTTTGGTGGTGCTTTAACAACCTCAAATTTCTCATCGGTTTCGAATAAATATGATAATACCTAAAACCACAGTGAATATGGAACAAATTGAATAGTGTTTTGCGATCGTGAACAGTACGTCATTTTTAAGAAGAGTGAGCTATTCCGAGAACAAGAGCTATTAAAGAGGTTCGTTTTCTACACACTTACGTCAAAAGCCATTTCACACGCTACGTGTAGTGCTTCTCAACTATCATCCCTGTACTCTAGCCAAGTAAACATAAAATGTCTAAAGTATAGCCATTTCAACTCCATCATGTAAGGACATGTCAAAAACGCTGGGTTTGCGTGATGCCGGTATCGCCGCTCACTGCCTCGGCTGCGGCTGCTGCATATACAGGCTCTTGAAAAGCAGACGGTCTGTCCGTTACTAGTCAACGATATCAGCTATGGCAACTTAAATGAAAGAACCATATTTGGAGCATGCTAAGCACAGCCATAACCCCTGCGACAGCCTACGGCTAGTGTACACGGCATGACGGATGATAGGGACTGGCCATTTTCGGGTTACCACGACAGCAGTTATTTAACACTAATGCGCGAAGCATTGAAGGCTTTGTGAGTCCTTTGCGCTTTATTGAAGAAGGGGTCCTTCTTCATAGGAGTACGTCTCCTCCTTTAAGTTAGGTCGAGCAGCATAATGCCTGCGCGATAATCGGTTATCGTGTCCTTACATTTGGCTTGATGTTTTTTTCTTGTTGCTCACGCCAGCCAAAGAAAATAACTGAAGCAAATTATCGAACCCAACAACAAAATGATTCCACCCGCTTGTTATGTGGATATTCTGTGTCATATTTAGCTCCCTGATATTATCGGCATTTATGCTCAAGCTCGAGTTCGAACTTTTCTTTTTCCGTAATTTTTCACATCTCTTCTCCCTGACGCTAGCTCTCTATGCCCCCCCTTCCCCCACTCGCTCCCGCTTCTGGAAGCAACTCCAGGTGAGCTACTTCCCTGGATAGTGGAAAAAATGGGACGATGTCGCAACAGCTGATAAAATGAGGAAAAACTGCTGGCTTTGTTCCAGTCCCTAGAAAATTATGCAGTACTTGCGATTCAGCAAGTAGTGTGTAGTCAAGCGAAGGAAGTGCAGGGGATCGCGGCGTTTCTTGTTGTAAGGCCGCCGAACAGAATGCCACGCAACAGCAATGGTAAGCGCACGAATGGGGCGATTAGCAGTGGTACAACAGCAGTAGAGATCTGTGTTTGACTGAATAGACCAGAAGTCCCAAGACTGTCAAGAGTGCAGCATTCATTTCCGCCGACACGCCGGCGGCGGCAGGAGACTTCAGTGGCGTCTACTAGCGTCGAAAAGGAATGACGGATACAACTCACTATTACGTGGCACTGCTGCTACTCATCCATTCACTAGAGCGTTAGCAGCACACATTAAATGGGCTGCTGACTATAAGTATGGCCGTAATCTACCAACAACCAACTCCTTCTAGGCGAAAAGCCGCCGTTGACTACCCTCAGACAGCACCAGTGGCAGTAGCAGTCGATAAGTAAATCAATACAGAGATTGAAACGGAGCAGGATCGCGTCCACAGCTAGCGAACAAGCAAATGCCTCCGCCTTCTTCACTAAGCTTCCCAGATGGGAGGAAATACCTAAGAGGATAAGTTTGCTCTGGCGCTCCTGAGAAGGGTATTCCATTAACGGGTAGCAGTGGCCGCTTAATTCTGTGGCCACGGCCGGCCGAAGAAAGCGACCGCTAGCAATGTTGCGATTACAGCTTCCGTTGTAACTCCCATCAGTATACCAGTTCGCCCGTCGGTTGTGCCGTCGTCGACGCAGCCGCCTCGATCTAGACATTCACCGGTTTTCTGCGGTATTCACCGGACGGAGGAAGCCGGGCCAAGAGAAGAATTGGAGCCATACAGAGAGTTCGAGGAATGACCGGTGTAAGGGGAAAACGACAGCACATGGCCGGGACTTACCGCGAAGCAGTGGCCAAATTTGCCTCCTATCTACCTCTTGCAGTAATAGCGCTGCCACCTCCCATTACTATTATTAGCACCGCTGCGGGCACCGCTACTTGTACTTACTCGTAGTAACGTAACGCGCCTACCTGCTCGGGTAGCTGCCTTGTTGTCGGGTCTCCGCCGTTCATAACAAAACGATGCGGTTTCTCTCTATCCACAGAACTGAGGTAACATAGACTACCTGGCGACACTGAAAGTAGAAGCATACGTAGTGGCGATAGGCGCCACTGGTACCCTCACGTCGCTTCAAACACGTTTCCCCATATAGAACTTCTGGTGAGCGCCCCCCAAAGCACCACTTCGTACTAAGTACAGGTAGAAGACAACATACAGTGCGAAACGGCAGTTGGGTAAGTACTGTTTACTTTCTCATTCGTTCTCTGACAGCGTGACGAAACGTACTTGATGTGCCGTTAGATCAGTACTTAGGCGATCCAATTGTATACCGGCATAGTATTTAGCCATTGCATGGCGGAGCATGCATCACAGGCTCTTCACGTCGACAACGATGGCCGTTTGTGAGTCATGAACAGTTACACAGCTTACTTTATTTTTGTGCGGCTGATTCTAGAGACCATCCATCGATATTACCACTGCTAGTGAAGCTGCTATCCCGCCCAACCCAGCCAACTTCTTACTGCTATTGGCCAATAAGCTGGCTAAAAAATGAGCGTTCGACCGTTGAAGCGTTGTGCTCATTGAAATGACTGTCGCCGAATCGACCCGTATACTCCTTCGTTGCACTTGCGTTTCTTTCTCTGCTGCAACGGTGGCTGCTGCTAATAGTGGGATCCAGCGTACTGCTCCTATATGCGGCTCCTGCTAAAAAGGAATGAAGCAATAGCCGATGCTTACTAACCATCACTTACTGTCTATAGAGCGTTTCCCAGAGAGAAGAAAAAGAGGAACTGAACGAACGAACGAAGCCTCGATGGCTTGTGCGTGACTTGCAGTGCCAAACTCCTTTCCTTCCCCGCGCCATCTTCCTTGTTGAATTGTCGTCGTCGTCCTCGTTCGTTCTTCGTCCGTCTCTCCTGCATCCCGTAGCCTCCCACATAGCCAGCTTGCGCCTGTCGTAGCTTGGCCCTATTCTGCCTCATGGTTCGCTCGCGGCCTGCTTGTGCTTAGTGAACCCGGATTTTGAGCCTAAATGGGAGACTTTGGGGTCTGAGAGTTCTTTTAAAGCGGCCCGAACCAAATTCTCAATCGTGTTCAACGTTTTGGCAGCAGCAGTACGCGAGTGAAATCGACTCAAGCCCAGCTTGGCTGTCGTAGACTGCCCATCCGGCAGTCCTCTAAGGCGTTAAACGAATGGTACGCTTCCCTCTTTCCGCTAGCCGACCAGCCGGGGTCGTTGCCCTAAAATTATAGTGGGCCCGCTATGGAATCAGTGCCATGTTTAGCACACTGCTTGGCACGCTTAGCACGCTTGAACCAGCTTTTAGATGATAAAACTAAGTCCCCCTGTAAAGCCCCTATCTAATGGTCTATTCTTCGCCTCCTCCCGCATCGCCGTTTCTAGCCGCCTCAATCCAGTTTGCCCATAAAAAGCTGCCGTGCAAACGAACGAGTAAAAATGAAGCTGACGAAGGCAGAAAGAAAGTTATTGGAGAGAATATAGCCTAGTCTTGCTTGTGACATAATGTTAACTCCGTCGTCGACTGTAAGCTGTTGCCAAGTTAAGCAGTAATAAATCTCTTAGCAAGTTAAAATGGTATATTAACCGAAAAAGCATGCATAGACCTTGGAGACATAACTTAACATAAAAAGAAATACGTTCGAACAAAATACAAATTAACTTGTGATTTAGCTTACTGCGTTAGGATAGCATGCTGTGACTTACTGACATCTTCAGCTACTACAAAGTCGAGCTTGAGTCCGATTGCAGAAGAAGGCAATGAGTGACACTATTCTTGTTCGTAAGATATTCGTTTGCAAAAAGGGCAACGATGTGCCCTTACACTTACATACTCGAGACGGAATAGGCAGTCATATTGTACAGGATGAAGTGTTTGAAGTATGTATTTTTCATAGAAGATTATTTTTTGTGCATGGCAAGCAAATAAAATGTTGCGTGTTTTCACTGACTTACCCTAACTGATACAACCGATTCCAGCCGATAGCTACAAGTAACGAAAGGCCCATACTAGGTAGATAAAGGACACGTTCAGCAACGACGAAGCCAATGGGGAAGAACAAATTAGATGCTGGCAAATAAGGTAACGCCACTAACGTCAATGCCTGCAAACAACGAAACGATTTCGAGTGGTTTGGAAAACTGTGGGGTAACCGAAAACAACGTATGACAGAAATGTGTCGATTTAATTAATGTTTCATTGTGAACCCTTTTTAGTAGGTTCGTTGAATATTTGCAAAAGCTATGTATTTAGAAACCAGTCATTAAAAAGTACGAGTCGACCGAGCCAAGAGACGAAAAAGAAACTTCAATTTTAAAGAACAAACAAACTGCACAGAGACTCACCATTCCGATGGCTGGCTGGTCCCTGCAATTATTAATGACATGACGTACGGCGAAGGCAAGAAAGGCGTATGCCCCAATGGTGAGCAGGTTGCGAGCGTCGAGAATTGACGTCACCGGTGGCACACTGCCCGACGTCCAATCGCACGCTAACTGATTTGGGTAAAGAAACAGCGCGCCATTTAACGCTGTTAGGTAGTGATAAGTCAGTTGTTTGATGAGTAATCCCATTGTTGATACTGGATTATCCAAACTGCACATAACCCGGAGACAAGCCACAGCGCAAGCGAGCACAAAATAAGTGGTGTTAGTTTTTGTATAATGATGGTGACATTATTGTTTCTCCTCTGAATCGGTAAAACAGCTAAAATATGCTATTTGTTCCCTTGCATCATACGATAGCCATACCCGTTACGTTCGTATTCTACAACAGACCTGCTGAATGTGGGAAGGTGACGACCCATAATCGATATCCGGAACGCCAACAAGGCAATAGCTGTTGACAGCAGTCCTGCGCACCTCTTGAATGCTACCAGATGCCAGCTATAGAAACGGCAGCCATTTTGATAAGTCCGCAAAGTCTGATACACACAACAAACCCCTGAGGTGGTAATGCAAAACAAGCAGCGAAGAAAAAGCACATATAAGTGAGAGAACATCCGGCCCACGAGCACAGACAAATTCTAGGAACCATCGGATAAACACACGCACACAATTATCCCTGGTAGAGAAAGGGAAGAAATAGGATACTACTCAGTTAGCCCCTCTATGATACATGGATAAATCTCCCTTCTTGTTTCTTAGGTATGCCAGAGTTATATTTTCCTATTTCCTACTACAAACATATGCATAGCCATGATTAGTTACGTGACGACGTCTTTGCGCCGCGATCCCAGAGGGCGAGTTCACTGAGCTAAATCTACGGACGTTAAGAGTGGTTTAAGCCAGCCGCACCTCAAGTCAGATAGAAAATGGCACCAGACCTGGGAGCAACAGTTTAGTCGGCAGGCGTCACATACCATTTTGATACCTTTTCTCTCTTATTTTGTCTGGCTTCATCCCTTTTCAGCGAAAGTTTCTGCCACTGGTGCTGTTATGTTCCCGCCGATGCTGCTGCTCGGTGTTGATTAAGCTCAATTGCGGGTTGGCTAGTAGAGAAGTGCTTATGTAGGATACAAGGCATTGTCCTCCTACGTGTTTTCCTGTAGTGAAAAATATGTGGCTTCTCTCTCTCTTTACGCACTACTATATCCCTATTCAATTATATCCTAGACAAGGTAGAACAAATGGCTGAGACCACTTACCTACAGCCATGATGGCTTGCTCTTTGCAGAGCATTCCCGCTCCCGATAACAGCACCGTGTTCACGTTACGTCGCCAGTGCGTTGCGACTGCACCGGATTCAGTGCGGATGGATGATTCGAACGAAGTCAGTCGGAGGAGACGGTGGAAGTAGACGCCCGGCCGTGTGGCCGTTGAGGAATGGGAGGTAATGCGAAACAGAACAGAATGAGCAAACCAGCCATGTTAGAAATAATGCACGAACAGAAAAAAGAAAGGGACGAGATGTTCGTTAGTTTAAAGATCTGGAAGCGGACGCAGAACACGAGCGGTTGGCTCAAGCGACCGAGGTAAGACCAGGGAACGAATTGACTAAAGGACGACTACAGGACAAGGACCCCAGGAGATAGAAATGAGCTTAGGGGTACGATACGTGGGGCTAGCGCGACCAAGTGGTGTTTCAAGTTGCTACACTATTACCGGCTTCGTTAAGACCAGCAGCGGCTAGTTAAAGCAAGGAAAGCACAGGAAAACTGCCGTCTAAATAGTCTGAGAAGCTAAACGAAGTAGCTCTTCTACTGAAGTACAAATCGCGCTTGAGATAGAGAGAAAAAACTGAAGAATGCTCAGAAGCAAAAAAGCTGCACACTATTCGGGCACGGTAGGCACGTGTATCTCGGATGGAGGGTCAAAAACCATCGCCGAAAAGAAAAACAGTCCCACAGAAAAAGCTTCGATTTCCAAGTCATACGCTTTGCAGCATGGTTTCGAACAGCTTATCGATCACGAAGTAGTAAGCACCGCTAAATCTGGTAACGGACACATAATCATGGCATAATTAAAATAATGTGTGAATGTAATGACTCTCCTTAAAAAGCAAGCAGTTACTTACCGTTGAATTTTCCGTAGCAGTTTTCATCTTTTTCGTTGCCATAGTTGTTGATGTAATAGATCAAGGCACACAAATAGAACAGACCGGATAGCAACTCCGCCCGTCCGACTACAGAGGCGACCTAAAAGAAGGAAAGACCAAAAATGAGAGCAGCGTCAATCGTGTGACGAACAAGACCCATTTGTGCACAATTATCATAGATAAGGACTGATTTTACTTTAAGCTAACAAAAAATGAATCCTGCATGCGGAACCAACGTCGGGTATCAGATCAGACCTCCTCAGATACCCTTCGCGCGAAGCTAATCGTGTTTAAGGTTCGATCTAGGAAACATTATACTCCACTTATGCGTCTAGTTTCTTGGAGAGACGCGTTTCTGCCGAACCATCTTGGTAACCTCTTTTTTAATGACAACATCGACCTGAACTGCTCACTCCTGCTCTCCTGTGTTATTATTTGCCAGAAGAAAGAGGCTGTTTCGCAAGTCGCCGACTTAATGGATGGTGCGATGTACATAGAAAGATGAACAACTTCCACGGCGTTTTTGCTGGATTCGATCCTACGGAACGGTAAGTTTCGGGACAAGTGCGATCTTTTATAACCATTACAGCATTCAATGTTTTTTCAATTTCCATTTTACATTAAATAGAATTTAGGTACCGGGTCGCGTATTGACCTTGGCTGCATCTACGATGAACCCCATTCAACTCAAGGTTCTCTATCTCAGTTTACTTACTACTAGCACTTTCTTTCATTATTTATATTGCCAAACGAAAATGTGCTAATAATTTAAGCAAATTAAATTAAGTGACTAATATACCATGCCGTTTTTACTATATTCTAGAAAAGTACACTCGTGATCAGTCCACTTATTTACTTCCACTCGATTGATTCGTATAATGCACTTACTATATTACATGCGTCGCAGCAAAAGTATAATACTATATTCAAAAGTATAATAGTATATATCATAGCAGTAACCAGCTGTCATTACTAATACGAGCGGCAAAGCTCGCAAAAAATGCTCACGAACAAATTAAGCACGAAATTGCTCAGACCCGTGGCGTGCGTTTTCGACGATAAGGTCAGAACAGCACGCAGTTGGTAGCAATGGTATTAGTCAGGTCAACAGCCGAAGCCATGCATGGTGTGATGGTAGGGGCGGCGGCCTGACAACAACAATAACAGTAGCAGTCTGAGGGCAATCATTAAATTCGAAAGTTACTCCACCTTTATTACTGATCTCACAGTAATCACGGTCGCTGTAACTTAATACATAGTGTGATAGCTGCCCCTTCTAGAGCTGCATCAGATCGCTGTAATGAAGGGCCAAAAGAGAGGTGAACTGCGAAGAGTTGCGCCGACCGTTTGTGCTTTAGCACAACCAACGAGCTACCACCATGGCAAAGGTACTGCGTTCTTTGCCCCTATCCAACACGCACGATACGAGTAGGCCCGGATGGCAAGCAAACTTGAGAGCGTTCGTATGGATCTTGCCAACTCAGGAGCTATATGAGGGCGTGGGTAACCCAAGGGTATATGCTTTGGGTTACTCCAGCTATGACTATCGTTAGGTAGGTGGCAGCCAGCAAACTAACGGCAGAGGCTGAGAAGCAATGAAGAGAGGCATATACAACAACAGGCTCTGTCTAGAGATTTGAAGCGGTAGCAGACAAAAGGGGTTTTGCTCTTTAGCTGGTAAAAGCAATTACTCCAGGTTGCAAAGGAACTCTGTCGTGCAACCAGTGAGGACGCCGGCAACACATCCACACACGATTCGGGGCGCCGGGTCTAGCATGGCCATGAGGCCCTGCATGCTGCTGCGTTACCGTGTAGGGTGCATCTACAACGACGACTATAGCTACAACACAATGGCGGCATGATGAAGAAGACAAAACAATAACGACGGAGGTCGTTGCTGTTCGAGATTCAACAGCCACAATACCACTGGTAGGAACGAGGCACCGAGCTGGCGTCGAAAACAAACAAAGTCTGCATGATGGCGGCTGAGACGATTGGGGCTAGCATTCAGGTCCTCGGTAAAGTGGGGGACACGAAACAAAGAAACGGGAGACGCAGGTTCAAAAGGAGCAATTACTGCAGTAACAACAGCAGCAACAACATCACTAGCACCTACTACAGGTCAAGTGAAAAAAGCGATAAACTAAGGCACCTATGGGGTGGGTATGGAATAAGGTAGCCTAGGTAAAGTTAGAAAACTGGTTAAGGCCGACAGTGGTTGAGGGTTGTTGAGGTAAAGCAGGTGTGCTCATTCGCCAGAGTCCTGATGGCGGCAGCGGCAACAAGGAATTTGTGGGTGAGAGTAACGGTGGCAGAACTTGGAGTAGTTCTTCCTACCAAATTCATGCGGCAGGGCAATGCCGGAGCAGCGACGGCAACAGCAGTCATTGTGGCGACACCTACTGACGATGTCTAGCTGCCTACTTGTCTTCACTACCTGACTACTGCTGCCTTTGAAGATCTGTGCTGCTGATGCCGCCGTCGTTCGCGGTTGCGTTGCGCTTTCTGCTACAGTTGCTTTTGTTGTTGTTATTGTTGTTGTCGCTAAAGCTGCAATAAGGTTTAGTCGACTGTGCCTTGCCATGGTCGGCTGGTTTGTTCATTCCCCTAACGAGCCACTTGTCTCCCTCTAACATGATGTAGTACAATAAACTATGAGAAGGAAGGTAAGGCGAAAGCTGCCTGATACCCAACTGATAACCAGAGCAAAAAAACCTATTAAGATCATCAAAGTCGTTCTCAGCCTCATAATCAACATCACCTGCATACCTCTCGTCCGTCATTTTTAATACTGCCAGGTTTGAAGTGTACATGTTCAACGTAAAGCTAATGTAAGTGTCCAATTTGCGCCTTCAAGCACTTCATTAGAAGAATGTCAATGAGCACACAAATACGTACAGGCACATAGTAGTTTTTTTATTGTTTTGCGTATATATATTTTTTTTGAGGATCAGTTGGGTAACGTACAATTCTTCGATGTTAGCGAATATGTGAGAATCTAAGGAAAGGAAAAAGACAACCTTTTCACTTCATAGTCGCTTACATGTTGTATCGTGGATGTAGAGCCCACCGAAGCAAATTGGTGGATTTGTCGGTCACAAAAGTAGAGTACGTCGGAAGCGGTCATCCTCGGCCTCATATTCAAGTTTGTCCAAGAACAGTATACGGGTTATATAACCTAACTATCAATGCCTGGACCAAGGACAACAACCACCAACATTCTACCATTGATTCGGCTGACTTCTATTGCATTATACAGATAATGCAATAGAAGATTTGGTAAAACACATCTGCATAACATAATCAATACCATTAGTACATGCACTACCTACGGAATCGATACGACTTTTCGAGTTGCTGACATACATTAAGTACTCGAAATGCCTCAGAAATTGCGAGCTCCGATTACCTTGATTGGCTTCAGAGAAAACGCTAGCTCTAATCGTCCACTGAAAACGTTCTGACTTTGGTACGTTGGCGTTATTTAAATGCAAGCATCTTCCCCTTGTTCGGATTGTCAGACACTCGCTACTTCGTTTATAACGAACATCATTCGAGTATTTATAAATACCCCTTCCGGGTAATAACAATTTCTTTTTTTTTTGCTTTATACATTACAAGCATAAATTACATGTACTGGCAACGATTGTTTTTTATGATAGGAAGATACCATGGTATTTTCATAATATTCTGCATCCGGTGCATTTCCCTAGCAATCATTATTCCAAGTACTATCAACTGTGTGCGAGCAATTAGTTTATTATGCCTTGTAGAATATAGTACTAATATCAGCCGTGATGATTAATAGTGCTTTTTTATTCACACGTACCGCTTCGGAGTGAAGCGGGTGTACAGCAAACAGCAGTGAGGCTACACGGGCTGTACGCGCATTAACAAGTAGGCCACACAGACGTAAGAACAGCACGCTCACGGCGGCGTGCAGAATTACGTTGACGGCATGATAACCTATGGGTCGCAGACCGTCAATAGCAAAGTTGGCACGAAATGACAGCGTCGTCAATGGCCGGTACGACTTATGACTTTGCTCCTGGAAACGACACGAAGAAAATTAACATTACCATTATTATTACTGTCATTTATGGTGTATTTGGTCGAAATCCATCGTTGTGCTGAAAACTTTCTAGTTTTAGCGCCTTGAATTGAGAGTGATCAACGGCACGGTAGCATAGTAGCCTAGTAGCACGGTACTATATATCATTTCGAAACTATGCCGGTATCATGTTATATACGTTAATAGTAATTACTGTCATTATCTATAGCAATGATTTTCTATTTTTCGGCTACTAACGCGGCAGACTATAGGTAAAGCATCACGCTCAACCATCTGAAACATGTGTTACTTAATGATGTTTACAATTTACTCTTATATACCTGCTACCTGTATCATGATTAAAATTGCGCTTAATCCTGGCATATAATCGGAGATCATATCAACACATCTACTTGATTTCGTCTTCATAGACTCTCTCGTGGAAAAAACTCGCGGCCAATAATGTGATGTAAACACGTAAAAAACTTCGTACCGCTAAAAGTGAGGTACTAGGCATACTCTACTCAAATCGCATTCTTCCATAGAGGAGAGCATTGGTTCTAAATTGCGGGAAAGAGCTTCGTATCTCGAAGGAAACTGTGTATGCCTTCGCACAAATTCTGTCTCTTCTGGCGGCGATTCTCCGCATGTTTGAGTTAACGGTATTATAACAACGACCTGTTTTTTTCTATAGATCGCCAAAGACAGGATATGATCGCAAGGAATCGAAGAGAGTTTATCTGTGTTTGCAGATGACAACAGGGACCCTGCGCTTCATCTCTGTGTGTTTGCTTCAGCGTCGTTGCAGTCAGGCGGTGACGCTAACGAAATGCTTCCTGAGAAATCGTATGAACTTGTCTACAATTTCGTTTCATCTTCCCCCTTAGCTTTTTCGCCTTCGGATACATCTTTCGGTTTTCCGATAAGTCCTCATCTCGCAACACCTTTGCTTTGACAGTTCGCTCATACAAATTAGCCAACTACGCTTGCAAGACTCATCTGTCAATTCGTAGACATATTGCTTAAGCACTGTAGCGCGACGTTGTTCCACGAAATATGATTAAAAGACTGTATATAGTGGTACATTTCACTCTTGCTTAAGTCTGATGATTCTGGCACATGATTTTAGTATGCTACGAAAGCAAAACAATGAGTATTAAAAATCGGCCATAAGATTGACCTTACGAACGTGTTCGATAACCTGATTCGGCATTAGTCAAATTGCATTCCAAAATAGTTACTTTTGACCTTGTTGGCATACCACGCGGTTTACAGAGCCTCCAGCACAAGCAGCCGTGCTTGATTCAGTTGGTGCATGATGGCACCGCTGCGACTACCACTCTATCCATTGGAACGCTGTTAGTATGTGGCAGTGCCGGTGTATGTCTTTATCCCTTCTTGCTTTTCGTATTACTGAGGAAGTTTATCAGATCCTGAACCGATGCATGCAGACGCGAAACTTCTCAGTTCCTTGTCGAAAACGGTTGACACGAGGGTCGCGTTAGGCGCCAATTAGAAGGGGCCAGCAGCAGTGCAGGGCTTTGCTTCCGTCAGCCTGGTTTACCGCTTTGTCTTGCGTAACGCAATGTTGTAGGGTGCTAATAGCGATGTAATTGCCAGTTACGGGAGGACACACGTTTCGGCCTAGCTGCTACCCACTCTGGCATGAGGAGCAGGCAGAACAAACGAGAAGCAGACGTAGCAAAAGCAGAAGCAGTAGCGATAACAATAAACAAGGTTCTGTCTGCTGCTACACCGGCCAAGGCCCGGAAGGGAGAACAAGTAGGGAGTGCACTCCCCTGGATACTCTGAAGGCCCCACGTGCATCGCACGCAACCGATGGGGATTCTCTGTGGCCTTTTTGCCTAGTGACGTTGCCACCGGAATAGAGGGAATGGCTTCTGTCCAAGGTAAAAGGGATCTTGCCACGACAGGAAAGACGATAGAGCTGCCCAGCGGTTGTGGCAAACAAGTGAACGGAGCATCAATGAGAGAAAGAAAACTAAAAAGGGAAAGTGAGTCAAGAACCATAGAACGCATTCAGGAACATCTACTACAAGCAGGAAAGGGAAACGGAAGCGACAAAACCAAAAACAATTGATGGCTTGCCAGAAATCCTCTTCTAAAGTCTTCTCTATTTGTTTGGAGTGAGAGAACGCGCTTAAACTAACAACATCTAAACGTGCTAGCCCCTGGTTCGGAATTAAATCCGCTTTGCGCTTGCGAACCGCACTGGTTAATCGTATTAGAGAACGTGCATCTAGGCCAGTATGCAGACACCAGCATGAACTATTCGGTAACCATTCGTTTTACGGATCGTCCAAGTGTGGCCGATTAAATGTGCCAAATCAGTATCTACTTTTCAGAGTCGTCAAATGATATGATAGCTGACAACGTTGTAAGTTTTTTCAGCGTGGAGACGATCAGGTAAGTAAATAACGCTTGCTAAGATACAGTAAATTATGACTTCATCATTAGTCGTTTAGTCCTTTTTGGGTATGATCTCGTCTGATCACTAACTTGAGGTGGATTCAGCTAAAGATATCGTTGTATTATATGAATCTGGCAGAGGCGTTACTTCGAAATGAGATGATATGCCATAGCCCCAAAGTATGTGCTTGGCGCGAAAGGGAAGCGGGGTAGTGCGTTAGCGCTGGTCCATTCATTCATGATATTGATTTCGCTTAACCCCGCTTTCCATGTGAAAGCAGCATAGCCAGGCCTGTAGAACGGTCAAGTTGGATCTGGCCGATTGAGTCTTGAATCTATTCAATCTATCTATCTAAGCACAGAAGAAGCAGATTCACTTGATTCTTCGTACTGAATTTACTGGTCTGCTAGGCTGGCGGACTTTCTATTTTGGAGTCACCATAAAAAGCTGTGCGGTCAATACATGATTTCAAATGCGCGCTTTGAAAACCCCACCTTACGGTGCATTTGGCCAAAATCATCTTGACTTTTATAAACTGCAAGTTCAGCAGCTGTGAGAGAACTATGCCTAATGCTGCTTCGAACTCGGCGAGTGGCCGTGTGAGAACCGAAAGATTGCCAGGGCTGTACCATTCCTGCGCGCACCTTTATAACGTCTATGACATTACGGGCGGTTTGTTCTGTTCGCTGTGTGCACTACTTACGTCGCCTCCATCTCAATAGGAACTTCTTTTAAGAAAATTCTAGTTCCCATCTCGCACTTAATGGAGCTGCTTATTTACGCAGACGTACATGATGCTACATTTATATCTCGAATCCCAAATGAAGGAACACCATAGTGTTATAACACGTTTGAGTTAGTTTCGGGGCTTTATTCAAACGTTCGATGCCCTTGATCGTTGGTTAAGGTGAGGACTGAAGGCCGAATGAGGAAAGGTTGCAAGCCACCTAGTTCTGTCATAGAACTGCAGTTGGTGTTTCTTGCCAGTACCGGCCTAGGCCTATTCACCCGGCAAAAGTCGACGAAAATTGTCGGGCGTCCTTGGTAACCGACAAGATTGGTTGGTTCTTAATCTCGTTCTCGCCTTACCGTGTCGCGTACCCCGCTGTCGAGTTAGCTAGGTGACGGAAAGAAAAAGCTAAAGAAAGAGAGGTAATGAAAGCAAAATTGATTTATGGTAGTTGTAAACGGCAGGCTCAGCCACAACCGTCTGGCCGAAAGAGCGGCCTGCTTGCTTTCAGCCTAGTGAACTGATCGGGTCGGACTGCACCAGACCCGACGCCAACCGGTGGCGGCGGCAGTAGTGGCGATAGTGGGCGATGGCGAAATGACTTCGCGGGAGGCGAAGAGTGTTTCGGCGCGTTTCGATCGTACACGAATGTCGAAGGACGTGTAAGAAAAAAAAGAAGAGTCATAAGACATATCCTTCAAGCCTTTGATTTCCGATCGGGATCAGGGAGAAGCGCAGTGTCACGCGTATTCCGTTACTGCTGCGACGGCGATGAAACTGCCCCAATTTAAATTTTGCTGCTATCCGTTCTTTCCTTGAATTCCAATTGATCGAATCTAGTGAACAGGAAGGACCAAAGTGAGGGTCAAGCCGTATAGCAGTTAAGGTTAGCCAGACACTCAGATCTGAATGCTGTTTAGGCCGTTAGATTGAATTATGGCCAACCGGTCGGTCGTGCATGGACAACCCGCTTAAGAAGACATATTCGTACTCGTCTAGAAGCTAGCCCATTCGACGAGCTAGCTGATAGAAGTATAACAACTTGATGAAAACGTTTTACAGCTCAGACATGATTGGCACAGGTTCGGGTCTAGGCTCAGTTTCATGTGGTTTGGCTGTTCCAGCACATAGTAGGCAATGAAGCCGGTGGGAGGGTACAGAGTCGAGAAGTGAGGCCGCCGCTCGTCAAGTGGATCTGCGATTGAATTCTTTGAGCTCCACTGAACGAACGACTCGCAGGAGAGACAAGAAACACCTTGCTGGGGAGAACGGATCTGACTGTAGGTTGCTTTAAGCTTGACGTCAGGTGGGAGAAGGGAGGGGGCTACATTCAGACCCAAGCGTGCGCGTGCTACCAAGGCCTGCCTGACCGTCTATCTAGTTGTGAAAGGGTAAGGCAGCCGGACAAAAAGTCAAGCTTCTTATTATCCGTTACTACTACATATCGCTAGTACTTGCGTACCTTATAGATGGGTGTGCCCCAGAAGTCGTTCTTGAACACGTTCACTAGCGGCGTGTACGAACGCACGTCCGTGTTCTCCTTTACAGCGACCACATCATCGTAGACCATATCTCCAGGAAGCGTAGTTAAATAGACAAACCCGGCAATTGCGGCCACGACGAGAGTCCATGGCCGAAACGAGTCCGGTTCGTCAGGTGCAGGCGGTTCTGGACTCGGTGGCCGCGACGGACTGGAGCCCTGCGATGGAGGGCGACTCGACACTGGCGAGCCGCGATAACTCCTCCCAAGCGAGGAGTGCATCTGAAATCGAGCAGAAGATAGAAGTGTTGGACGTTAGACTTAACGTATATATATCTAAGGTGCATTAAACGATCTCATCTTTCTATGCTTAAAAAGCTCTTAAAGAACTACTTTATTGCTTATACAAAAAATATGGTGCGACTGTATAAATCGCATCTTCAAATAAGTTTTCCTTCCGTGAAAAAGAGCAGAGTGTTATATGTCTTTGTAAACGTGACAATCAATATAGTAATTAATGACAACAGCAAATTAGAACTGTTTTTTTCTTATTTTTGCTTACTCATCCGGGATCGTGTTGTAAGTGACGACGTTGACTTCACCCAAACAGGCCGAAACTTCCAAGTGGTAAGCTGTCTTCAATTACAAAATTTCTAGTGAAACGGTCCTAGCGCTTTTTCTGTTAGGTAGTCCCTTTTCTCCACTTATTTTTATGTAGTGAAACAGTCCACCGTTTCTATTTGTTTCTACATCTATTTTAACCTTTTAACCTCTCGTTTGCCTCTATTCAGTAACCGCGTTCGCAGTGACCGGGCCCTGTGGCCGCGGCAGCGTTTTCGAACGAAGAAGATACAGCGTAGATATTATTTGATGAATTCGAAAGTATCACGCGATCCCGGATAGTCAACCGCAAACAGCAAAAAGAAGCAAGAGACAACGAAGGAGTAGAAGAACGGCTAGCAGATGGCGGTCGGCACTAAACGATAGACTACCCCATTTCTTTTTCCAACTTCTCTTTTTGTCTGGAGTCCTCTTGTTCATCCTGCTTCCCTAAGTGTTCCGAGAACGGGAGAAAGACAGAAAGGGAAGGGTGGCTCGGGCAACTACGTTTAGCTGTCTTTTTTCCGTCCGTTTACCTCTGCTCGCCTTAATGGCTCACGTTTGTCATCGGACAAGAATAACTGTGTCTTGTTGTAAAAGAAAATCACTAATCGATTCATAGGAGCAGGAGGAGAAACAGCACGCGGGGCAGTGACAACGCAAAACGAGCTCTTTTACGAATTCTTTTGCGTAAGGAAACAGGAGACGGCGGAGCCTTCGCGCGGTGCGCAAGAGAATGTAAATGGTGGCAAATATAAACCTATTTCTTACTGGAATCCTTTTTGCATGTGCCTTCCTTGAGGTAAATGTTTCGGTCAACTAACACAGCTGACGACACTCCAATGATGGTTGCCTATTTGTGTGAGACGTGAAGTGTGCTTGTGAGACAACAAAAAGGCGGCCCGTTGTGCACTAATCATTGGACTGTCACTGGCACGCAAACCACAGGCCTACCAGCACAATGGCCTTTTGTCGCTGACTGTTCGACAGACCAACGAAAAAAAGAAGAACGAAGGGTAGACGAAGAGCTACTTCTGGCCAATAACCACAATGTAAACACAAGCAAGTATAGAGGACGAAGGGGGCAAAGTCCAATTACCCGCATCTCATCCATCCCTTGCTCAGAAAAAGCGACTTAGTTCCCAACTGACCTAACAGCAAGGGCAACTTCCCGTTGCGGCCTTTGGCTTCTCTGACTTGTATTATTGTTGTTGCGGCACAAAAGAGGCCGCCTAACCAATCCACTATAGCTTCCTGATCCGATGACTATATAGATGGGACGACTAACGGCAATAAAGTCGTTCTGTACCAGCAGACGTAAACCGAGGGGAGCCCTGGAGCGATTTTGTCACCATTACTTAAAACTATCTTACACTTACATTTGTCGCTCAGTTCGTAGCGCATAAATACGCATTAAAAGGCGCATATACTCACGAAATTACGCAAAAAGGTTATTTCTTCGTCCAGAAGGTCCGTACAGGTCAATAGATTCTGCGCACGAAAGTAGTGCGGCAGCGGACTCATGTAAAATAACGGTACACCTCGGTGCTGCCATTCGTCATCGAATTTCATTGTGGAAGCGAATATTTGGGAGGGTCAAGATACTTGGTACCTAGAAGCGCTTTCGTTCTGTACGCCAGTCTACCACGGGGAGATCCCGCGAAGAAGAAATGTTGGTTGGTGCGCGATATCGGCACGGCGCCGGTCTTCACGCAAGCCGAGTTAGCTGAGAACAGGCTATGCTTGTTCCTGCCCTTAAAATGTGCATATCAATGAGAGATGTTGTGTAACACTTGCGTCTAGGCCAGTGAACCGGTAGGCTGCGAGGTCCCGGTTAGCACTGTTATGTTGCACTTGTACTTATGCTAGGTACGCCAAGCATCAAAGAGAGCTTCACCCCGTCCCATCTTCTCACAGCAGTAAACTGTATATGCGATATACGGACTGCATATGGCTGTCTGCCTGACATACACCCATTATGAGAACTCAAGGCTCAAAGAGATGGAACCACAGGGGCTAATCTGCAGGGAGTCGCGGGATGTTGCGCGACACATCGCCTTGACCCGAGCGAGTGGATGCCGTGTCCTCTCTAATCAGTTTCTCCCTCTGGCAATGCCACAGTGGAGAATGAAGTATATGTTAGCAGACGAATTCGACAAAACACGAAATGTACAGTGTACGGTCGTATCTAAGCGATTCAGCAGAAAGCAATTATCGTACCTCATGGTAACATCTGTTGCACACTACATGATCCGCCAATAAACAATAATTTTAGTTTGCTCCACACTGGATGTTACACCAATGAATAAAAAAAATGCCCTAGTATGATGACAGTACCCAAACACATTTTGAGTTAGCAATGCACACGACACGGTACATTCAACCGCAGAACTCACAAACGATTCCAAACAAGCCCATCACGTATGTTTTTTCTGCCCATACCCTTTAATCGTTTTAATCATGTTTATTTCATTCGGCGATCGGTCGAGAAGGGCATATTTCATTCGTCAAAACAGTATTACTTTGGAGGATCTGTTGCGCGCTTTTTTTAGTATATTGAACGTCCTCAGTTCTGATCGAAGCTACGCGAAATGATGTGGGTCGGCCTAGCTCTCTTCTCCTCGTAATCTATGAGAGCATGCAGCGCAGACTAAAAGTTCTAGGCTTCTTTTATCATACCAATGGGACTAAAGAAAGCATTTCGGGAAATCCATTACGGAGCGACACAGTTCGCAGGCCATTCCGTTTTGCTTTACCCTACGCTGCTACAACCACTTCTATGACGCGGGGAGCAGTAGCCGACTATATGTGGTCGCGGAAGCTTGGTCATAGCTCAAGTTGGGCCCCTCTTCAAAGCGATGTATCATCATGTGGGGCATGAGCGCACTGGTAAGTCCCTGGGAAGAAAACGGTGTTTTGGCTGGTAGCTAACAGCTGACCGTAGCAACCTTCATTGGCCTGTTTTCTCGGGGGTATATGACCGGGACCAACGGCCGCATCAGTGGTATAGGGCAGGCTACACGGCCACCTCGCCAACCACGTTTGGACTAATGTACTCGATAAGGCCACGTCACACGTCTATACAGAAAATAAGAGCGAATGTGGGAAGGAACGGGATAACAGAAGGAAGAAACGTCGTTGTGCTGCAGCTCACTCGGACCGCAGTCAGAGTGGAGGCTGCTTCTATCTTGGACTGGTATCACAATGAAACAAAGCAAGTCTCGCTTGAGGTGCTGTTCATTGTAACAAATGGCGCTAAATTAATTCATTTTTGTTGCCCGTTGTCGACTCCGACCACTGTACTAGTGCCGTATGCTACCGTTCTAAGCCTGAAGCAATGGGGGTCGCAATGAAAGGCGCTGGAGGTCCTGATTTGTTACTCAGTCCTCGAAGGGATTGAGATTCTGACAGCTGTATCCCGTGCGTCTCTTTGTTGGAGATGAAGAACAAGTGGTTGTTCGCGGTAGTGTGAGCTGACGGGGTGATTCCTCTACGCAGAGATGTGAGTACCACAGTCAGCGCCAAGCGGTAGGAAGCCTACTGTAGTATAATACGTGCGTGTGTGTAGTACGAGAGGCAAACGTATTACCGGTTGGCCGTTAAATTAAAAAACTATCTTGTCACTGCTTACTCCTAACTGCGTCGATCGAGATCTAGAGAGCTAATGTAAATGTAGGAATATCTAAATCATGCATATTGTGTTGAGCATATATGTATATGCATACAGATAGACGAAAAACATGCGGGCGGTCATGAGGTTCACAACTAGAACATGAACTTTTCAGCTCCGCGTGAGCGATCCAGATCTATTTACTCAGTGAGCGACGCATGAGTAATAATACATATACAGGTTATATTAGCGTAGATCGTACACGCTTAGACGAGTGGTCGAGCACCTTTATACGTGTAGGTCATCTAACGATGCTTTTATGATATAACACAATATATATTTATCTTTTTATGGTAGAATAACAACAATGGTGCGAGCTATCCTTTTCGTGGTTTCAAACACTTCTTGACCCCGCACTTTCCAGCGCAGGCTTCACCATCAAGAGGATGTACAGACCGCTGAATCTAACAGCCATCCACCGCAATATAGTGTGTTGCTAGATTAAAGCAGGAACAGTTAGAATATACTGCCCGCGAGATACAGCGGCTCAACCAGAAGGACCGCGATAGCAGCTGTCGGAAGTGACGACGACGTGCAATCAATGGCGTGCTCATCGTTGGACATGCTACAAATTCATGCCCTCAATCGCATGCGCATCACCGATGCACAGATTGCTCACGCGAGTTCATGTGCAGGAGTTCACAGACGAGGAAGTTGGATATTGCATGAGGAGAGTAAGGGGGCATAGAAGTGCCCAGCTCTAATGCCCTTAGCACTCAACCGCCAGGCAGCAGTCGAATAGTCAAGACTATAAACAATTGTCGCTTCTTTCGTTGGCGGCGAAGGTAGCTGCAGCCCTTAGTGGGTTGTGATAGCTGCTGCTTCTGCCGTCACCGCTACTGCTATGGCCGCTAACAACAATAGCGACGGCAGTCCCTCTGCCTCTGCCGAAACTGCCACCGCTGTACAGCAGAATACGGGGCTTTCGGGAGGTGAACCGGCGACGCGAATCGTCTTTGCACTCTGCTGTATAGAATTTACAGCTCTATAAATGGCTCCGTCCATCGGCCGCTTGCTCGGCCTCGGCCCTTCGCAGTATGTCTTGTTCTTCCCTGGGACGATCCACTGTCAGTGTTTCATCGAGTATTTGTTGTTGTAGAGCCTTCAACATCCAACCAGCTGGTCGTGTAAATAGCGCCGATGGCATCAGCGGAAAACAGACTGAGCGGTGACTTCACTGGGTACCGCCAGTCTGCCGCATCAGTCGGCTACCTTTTATTCACACGAAGAAACGCTCGATCTGTCACTCAGCGCCAAGAACAATACTAAGTTGTGTCGCCAGCAAATATCGAGGGCTCTCGCTGGTTGGCTGACCGAGCGATCCTTGCTCTCCCTCACGCTACATCGTCGTTTACGGGCTGCCAATTTAGGCAGCGAGGACGGCGGAGGCGGTACTCGTAGCGTAAATTTAAGCGTGGACAGACGAAAGAACTGCAAAATAGAGTGTAGTGGTGTTGAGCGTGAACAAAAGATGCGAAATGAGGATTTCGGAGCAAACGTACGGAAAGCCAGGAACACAACACACGGCACTGCACAAGTGGCGCACCCTCTAAGCAATATAGAAGGGCAGCAATAAGAACACCGGGCAAATGGGGGAGTGAATATGGGTACACTCTACCCAACAAGCCATTTGCTCTTCGGATAGATTATATTGGACTTGCACAATTTGCATTGTGAGAAGGTATGCTTGCGACGGCGGCAGTGTCGTCGACGGCGAAACCCAAGACGCGCACAGGCAGCGCACTGAGAATAAAGAAAGGCTTCAATAGGCTCAACGATTCAACAGCCGATGGCTAAAGCTATACTACAATAAAAAAGGATCATAACGGGTCACGACGGCTGTGCCAAAGATGACAATGACAGCTCTGAACGACTTTGTAGCAGACGAGCGGGTGCTGCGTCGCACCTCTTTACAAAGCTCGTCATAGACGTTTTGTCACAACTCAAGATCCATAGGCTAGTCAAATAAGCTGAGAATCTACAAATTGAGTTCTTATATTATTATATCTCAATGCACATATCAGCAGCCTAGATCTACCGTGTTTAAGGAAAGTGCTTGCATTTACCGGAGGTCCTTGTAGGCAATAGTTGGGGGAAGTGGCAACCCTAAGTTCCCCCTATGTATCTGTGATCAATCGTTAGTTGAGCTTCAAAAGAATAAAGAAGCCAGTAATCAAGGATGGAATGTGTTCAGGGTGGCTCATACCACAAGGTCAAAGATCGCATCTTTTTTTAAGTGTATATCTAATACAACTTATTTGCACAATTTGCTTTCTTTTTAACCATTTCATCATTATTCACTTGAAGTGATGATTGTGACGAAACTACGCTATACAAGGTGGCTGGGGTTTACTACAGGAGGGACATCCCGGGCGTCCGCTCTGGGTTTCAGAATAATTTGCTTAGAGGTGTTGGTGGCAAATACTTTTTTGCCTTTTTTTGAAAAAAAATTTGCTTAATGATACCTGTGCGCGTCCGGACCGTTAGCCTAGTTAATTCTCTTTACCTTTCAATAATATTCCTTGTGCAGCAAATCGCTTCAAGTATTACACAAACAATATGCCGTTGGAGCGGAATCAAATCGGAAATAAAAATATATGTATACGTTTACAACCCGTTTAGCCTTGTACTTACTTGGCGATCCCGTTCGTCCTGTCTAAAACCGGACCTCACCGCAAAACACCATTCAGTTACACAAGGACGAGCGCAACCTCGACGCGAAGTGATTTCCACGACTCGAGCAGACAAAGAGATAAGCGCAAAAGTGAATAGATTGACCGATGCAAACATAAAATTCTATTTATTTTACACATTCACCGAGGGGGCCTCTGTCTGTGAACACATATTTGACATGTAGGATAAGACGTGGCACACCAAACTTTGTACCTCTCCTTCAGCGTGTCCATAGGCTCATCTATTATTTGATTGCTATAAACAAAAACCTCGTTATAATCGTTAACAAAGCTGAAATGCGTGACCGAATCGACCGGCTACAACTAACAATCTATGCCAATCGCGTAGACACTCGAGTAG